CACTTTTAACCGAAATCTTGCTGATTTATCATAGTTGATTCAAATTATTTTGTTACGTCTCCGTTTGTTAATTGATTTTCCGTAACTTCGTTCCGACGAAACTTAAGCGACACAAGTCTTTACTTAATAAAACTGGTTTATTCTTTCCGAATATTACTTTACGATACACTTATTTCAATATTCGCGCTAAAACAAACACTATAACGAACGAACGTTAACTTCAACAATACCCTGTGACTGCAGTTCAATTACTCACTGTCTACACACACGCATTACCTTCCCCTCTTTTATATCCCAGCCTACCCTATCTAGTAAATACTAGAGCATTCATGAAGGAACAAGATAGTTCTAGAAACTAGGGGGCGCCACACCAGTCACGTGACCTCGATGACGCAACAATGACATAATCTTGTCGATACGCTGTGCATTTATAATAAAGTTTTCTTCATAACCTAGTCAAGCCGTTTCCAAACTTTTGTTTTACAAAGCTGTATTCTAAATTTAATTCAATAATTTTATTTTCAATCTACGTCAATACACTTGGCATTAAACATAGTTTATAATTCAACTTTTAATATTGTATAGTTTTAATCTATTAATTTCAACAAGAAATGTTTAAATAAATTCTAAACTTCACTTGTATTTATCACGTAAAATTTGTTCTTTTCAATTTACGTATTTTCTACTTTCTAACAACCCCTATACTATGTCCCAACTTTAACATAAATTACCCTTTTCTACTAAAGATATTACTAAAGCGGAGTATAGTTTATAGCGTCCAATCTATTTTCTTTATAGAAATATAAACTAAATAGTCGAATCCATTTCCTACTCTCACCTATTACATCGTCTCTTTCATAATTTGCTAATGATTCTTTGTGACGTTTGCTAAATTATTATTTATAACCAATAGAAAGACAAAGTTTTAATACATCGAAAGACGGATAAGGCTGAGTTCAGGTCGATCAACCAAGGAAATTATTTTAGGGCACTTATACCTTAGTTGGAATGCCAGATAGATTATAATAGTCATAGAACATTATATACTTTTGCTTGTAAATATTTTGTGTTCGTATGTGCATATTTGAAATAAATAAAACGTATTTGGATTACTTGTACCATCATTACAAAAAGTAGACTGGAATTCAATGGGGGCCAAAAAAAAAAAAGAAAGAAGAGTTCAAACTAAATATTACCCTTTTGTTTTTATGTATATTTCATATTTATTGTTATATATTAATTGAAATGTAAAAAAAATCTTATTAAGTTAAAGGAGAAAAATAAATTAAATATAAAGTTTTTCAGTCGGTATGCATTGGAGCTGCATGGGTATTATATAACTTGTGTTAAACTTATTAGCTTTATTAGGCAAGGTTTATTTAACTTTAGATACAGTTCAAAGAGCAATAAAAATAAATGAAAGCAGTTGTCAAAATGGTTTTAGGATAAATGTAATTCTCTGTTACAATCTGCAGGCATTCTAAGAAGGAAAAAGGATAATTCAGACTTATTTCGTTTTTTTATGTTATTGTTTGTATTTTTACGTATAATGAAATGTGGCGAATTTTGTGAATTATAGTGAAAATTAAT